TATTGGTAGATGAAGTTGCAAAGAACTTATTGAAGTAAGTAAAGGAAGTATTACCTCATTCAAAAGGGACAAGTTTACAAGATAAGAAATGCAGGTGCAGAGTAACCCCATGCACTAGAATTATTCAGGTGGTGGAAATTGATAATGGTAGAATGGTAGCTAGCGAATAGGTTGAGACTAAAGATGAGAATATAGAAGTGATATTGCTGTCAGAATATATAGATGTATATATATGATTCTCTTCCCAGTGGCAATATCTAGTAGTCAGAGGGACTTCAACTACGTACCTATTTTCAGGCTCACAAAGAGAAATAATAACTGGCATCACAATGACTGGCTACAGGGAGAAAGAATTATCTGATAATTAGAGGTACCAGAATCAGGGGACTGACCCCACTCCAGGGCTGGCTGCCAAAGGGAGTGGCCAGAGTCCAAGTCCTCATATTCCAGGGAGCATGTCATTTCACAGGGTGTTTCTTAACAAGATCAGATTTTTAAAGAGCATGTATTAAAGAATAGCACAAGGACTGATACTTTCTTGTAGGCTTAGATAATTTTTGCTTTTAAAAAGAATACCAAGAAATTTTCAGAATTTTTTTCCCCCTGTTTTTCAAGTAATGCTTGCCACAAGAGAGTGAACAAGAAAGGATGAAAGCCACTTCTTGGGTGCTGATGCTATCAAATGACAAAAAAAAAGGGGGGGCAAGATCACTCTACTTTTGTCTCCTCTTTCAAAGAAAATAATTTTTCATTAAAAATAACTTATTTTAATGACTAAAAGGCTACTGAAATCCAGTGTGGTAAATGAGCAACCATTTTAAGTGAGTTAAACTCTCTAGGCCTAAAGGAATTATCCATGAAAAATTCGCCTAAGTGATTATAGAAGCAATACTAGTCAGCTTTGGGAAGCCAGAGAAAAATAGGAAATGCCAAAAGATTAAAGAGGGACAAATATTGTCCTAATTTTCAAAGAGTGTAAAAAGCAAGAGAGCGTTTGAAGATTACTGGTAAATTTACAAGGTCTAGAATGAATTTTTTTTTAATAATCTCTACACTCATTGTGGGGCTCAAACTTACAACCCTGAGACCAAGAGTCTGAGGCTCTACCGACTGAGCCAGCCAGGTGCCCCTCAACTGAATTTTTAAACAAATGTTTTAACGATAGGGAAAGAGATTGAGCTCATGAATGACAATTTCCAATTTTTTTTGTGTTTCCATCTATCTCTGTCAAGTTCTTCATGGAAAAAAGGATTTAATGCAGATTTTTCAAATGAAGAAACTTAAAGGTACTGCTTCCCAACTGTAAACCTTTGCCAGTCTAGTAGAACGGCAATGTCAGCATCACCTGGGAGCCAGATAGAACCCGAGACTCTCAGGCCCCAGCCCGACCTAGTGACTTAGAATCTACATTTACACAGGATCCCTAAGTGGTTCATAGGTACTAAAATTTGAGAAGCACTGAAGAAGTTAGAAGGACAAATAAGAGATGGCAAGGCGCCCCAAAACTCATAACATTAAGAAGCCGTTACAACTCCTAGGGCTAAAGGAACAAAGTACAATGTCTTCCTTGCTTGCTTTCCTGTTCCACCTCCTTGGTGAAGCCTTTCCTGTTCTGCTGACAGGCAGAGTGAATAGGTCCTTTTGCTATACTTTAAAATCCCTTAATTCATATATCTTTTGTAGGATTTGTCTTCTCTATCAGAGTTGTTTAAACATCTGTCTCTCAGCAGACTGTGCACACTGGTTAAGAGTCAGAGAGGCACCTGCATTTAAAAATTTTTAGTTTCTTAATCTCAGGAAACAAACAGGGTTGCTGGAGTGGTGGGGGGTGGGAGGGATGGGGTGGCTGGGTGATAGACATTGGGGAGGGTATGTGCCATGGTGAGCGCTGTGAATTGTGTAAGACTGATGAATCACAGACCTGTACCTCTGAAACAAATAATACATATGTTAAAAAAAAAAGAAAAGAAGATAATAGGAAGGGAAAAATGAAGGGGGGAATCAGAGAGGGAGATGAACCATGAGAGACTATGGACTCTGAGGAACAAACTGAGGGTTCTAGAGAGGAGGGGGGTGGGGGGATGGGTTAGCCTAGTGGTGGGTATTAAGGAGGGCAGGTATTGAATGGAACACTGGGTGTTACGCACAAACAATGAATCACTACATCAAAAACTAATGATGTAATGTATAGTGATTAACATGATAAAATAAAAAATAAACAAAAATAAATCTAGAAACCCAAAATAAAAAAACAATTTTTTTTAGTTTCTACCACAGTGCTGGGCACAGAGGTAGTCTAAAAAGGTAATCTAATCCCTTACCAACTCTATTAGGGAGGAACTATCATTAAACAGATTTTAAGATGAGAAAATTAAAGTGCTGAAAGGTTAGTAACTTGCCCAAGGTCACATAGTTATGAAGTGGTAACGCCAGGATTTTTTTTTTTTTAAGATTTTATGTATTTATTTGACACACAGATATAGCACAAGCAGGGGGAGGAGCATAGGGAAAGGGAGAAGCAGGCTCCCCGCTGAGCAAGGAGCTGGATGGGGGATAAGGGGCTCAATCCCAGGAGGCGAGGATCATGACCTGATCCAAAGGCAGATGCTTAACCGACTGAGCCACCCAGGCATCCCTAAAGCCAGGATTTTTGAACCTAGGTAGTCTGGTTGTAGAATGATATTTAAATAACTTCATAATGAGAAATGACATTCTGAACTAGCCTTCCTTGGCCAAAAGTAATTAAATTGTATTTTTATTAAATATATTTATGCCTACCTGCCAAAATAAACAAATAAAAAACAAGGAGGAGGGAATTTAAGGCATCGCTACTTGTCAGTGAAAAAATTCAGGCCGAAGTGGGGTAAATTTTGATGATTTTGTCCTAAAAGGTTTTCCTTAAACAGATGACATGTTTGAAATAAGTGACTTTAGGCTTTTGTGATGAGAGTAAACTAACCTACCCACAAAAGCAGGGAGTTCATATTCTTCTAATCTAATCAGAGGTTTTCAACATAAACATTTACAAACGAAGGACTTAAATAAAAATAAAAAAAATTAATTAAATCCTGCCATCGGGTCTGGTCAAAAGAACACAAAATGGAGAGCTGGTCTCCCATTGCCCTTTCATCCGGTTGGCAACGTGAGGAGCGGTGTTTTCACAGGGTTTACATGAGACCTCCTGTCGGTAGGCAGTGCTGTGGTCTCACCCGCCCTAAGGGAGAAGGAACAAAATGGCCATATACAGAGAGCAGCAGATCAAAGTATATCTCTCTTCCCCTTCCCTTTGCCTACCACCCATCCACATGGAAATCTTAATTCAACACTTAATGCCTAGTGTAGTCTTCACATAAATGTTGGTCCTCGTCTTCAAATCTGAAGTCTAGCGGGGGCAGATACTGGTCGAAACTGATGAGGTTCGTGCTCTGCAAGGCTGGGCCCGCCCACACACCGAACAGGTCCCCATTCAGAGACCCGCATCTTTCTTTCACGAGAGTACTTTCACCGGATTCTCAGCCGGAACCCCTCAACCCTTCCGCCGCCCACCCAGCGTCTGCTTCGCAGCAGCCGGACCCTAGCCCGGAGCCCACTCAGCCTTAGCCAAAGGCGGCGCGTTCGGATCCTGCGGCCCACTGGGGACGGAGAGGCAGACGCAAGGCCGGGAGAAACCTGGGCGCTCGGTCTTGGGTCAGACTCTGAGGCGCCTCAATCTCAAGAGGCGGTTTGTCTTTCACCTAATTCAATAGGCCCAGGTTTTCCCTGAGGGCGTAATCGCGTGGGCTGATCACGGCGCTTCACCGCCTCACCACATTTTCCCGCGCTCCCATCCAACTGGCTCCCCACCCCCGACCCGCTGCTATCTTCAGTCACCTTGTCCCCGCGGGCCGCCTCTCCCGCTCCACGAGGGGCCGCGGGAATCTACAGCACCTCCGGCACACCTCGCCACCCAGCACGCGCCAGGACCCTGCCATTCTGCTCGCCACACAGACATGCAGTAACGCCCCAGCATCTGCTGCAAAAGTCCTTCCCCACAGCGGAGGAGATTTCCAGCCCCACGCGCCCGGAGTCGCCCCCGCCTGGCGCGGTCGCCGCGCCCCCAGCCGCAATCCCGCCCGCGCGCCTCCGCGTCTGCGGGTCTGTCTCCAGCAATCAGAGAAGGTCGGCTGAGCCCCCACGTGTGACCAACGAGCTCTCGTTACACCCGGGGAAGACCTCGGCCCCACGCTCTAGGGCGGCCAACAGCTGCGTTAATTCTCCAGCGGGGGCGTTCTTTTCTTCCTCTCCAGCCGGCAGCGGTCGGGTTGTCCGCAGCAGCGACTACTATGGCCTCTTCCTCTCCACTGTGATCCCCCACCCCGCCGCACGCTACGGCGACAGCTTCCAGCGGCCTGCCTTTTGGTCTCTCCCTTATGAAGAGAAGAACTGAGGAAGGGCCACGCTTCCCTCGGGGGAAGGGGGAGGGTCTGCCCGGCCCCACCTCCGTCGCCCACCGCTCTCCCTGGTGGCCCGCAGCCCTTCCAAACCGATTCCTCCGGGTGAAGCGTGCCTGCCCTGGGCTAACTTTCCGCGAGATGATGTCCCCGCGGACCTGTCTTGCCCCACTGTCCCTTCAACCTCTCCGCAGCCTCGCCAGCTGTCCGCAACGTGAAGCGCGTGGCGGGACCCGAGGCTGGGACCTCCGCGCCCAGGATTTTACTCGGACTCCAGCACGTGGTGGAGCGGGGGGTGGCGGCCAGAGTACAGGCTGGGGGAGTCTCGGTGGCACCGGAGAGGGTCGTCTGGGGGCCCACGGCTACTTTCGCGGAGGACGAGCCCGGCGGCCTGGGCCGGCTGACCCCGGCTGGAGGCCCGCGCGTCATCCCCCCTCCCACGGCCTCAGCCCCGGCGCGCAGACTCACACCCCTTCCTAGGGAAGCAAATGGTCCCTTCCAGGCGGGTGGCCATGTTGCTCTAATAAAGCGGGAGGGGCGGCGGCGTGGGGGGAGCAGATGCTGCTGGCTGCGAGCGGTAGCCGGGTGCTAGCAGAGCGCAGCCGCGAGGGAGGCGCGGGGGAGGCGAGCCGGAGCCGGAGCCGGAGCGTCAGCCAGTGTTGGCGGAGAGCACCCAGGCGCAGCCGGAGTCGGAGCCGCAGCCGCGATGGCCGTGGCCGTGGGGAGACCGTCTGTGAGTGCTGGGGCCTCGCTTCCCTTGCGGGCTGCTCCTCCGGCGCTGGGTGGTCCCCGCTTTCGGGCGGGTGCCGGCGGGGAATACTGGGGCCCGGGCGGGGGCTCCGGATGGTGGCGGCTGTGGGTGTGTGCATGAGATTGGGCGCGAGTCTGGAGCTGAGGGGAGGGCTAGGAGACCAGAGACTGGCTGGTCTACTACGTGATGCAACAGTGTATCGCCTAGTCGCGCCCCGGTTCCGGAGATGTGGGAGAGAAAGGACCCCTTTCCTATTTTCCCTTTAAAGGGATTCTTTTAGCCATGGTGTTTCTCGTCTGCCTGCCTCCCTCTCCGCGAGCACACCTTTCCTCTCGTGACAGTCGAGACAGGCGCCGAGAGCGGGGGTTTCCTCCCGGCTCCCCCTCGCTGAGGGGGCTACCAGGGCATGGGAATTGTTCGCCCGAGCGCGCTGTCACAGGGCTGTAGAAGCGGGTCAAAAATAAAAGGGTGGGATTTCCATGGTGGCTTCCCCAGTGCATTGTGAGATCTCAGACGCCCCCAGGCACCCACCCGGCTGACCCGGCCCTGCCCAGGATGTGGACAAAAGCCCTAGATACACACACAAAGTTTTCACAAGGCCCGCTTGTCGTGGTGGGTGGAAGTATTAAAATGCTCTGCGGTTGGAAGACCAGGGGTGGCGAACCGAGGAGGCGGGGGCGCGAGGAAGAGGAAGGGAGGGCGGGTGCGTGGAGACCCGGGTGCCCGGCGGCTCGGATCGAGGGGATGCCCCCGCCCCGAGTTCGCGGGCCGGACAGGGGCCGCGCCTGCTGGGGTGCAAGACAGTTCGCGACCGGAGCCGGACTTTGAGGGTGCGGTTTCAGTCGGTGCTCCGCATCCCCGAGTGAAATGCGGGGCGGCGGCGGTTCCTTTTTACTGAAAGGAGCAGAGCCGGGTGGGAAAGGCGGAGTCCTCTTTCTCTTTCCCCATTTCTTTGTCGATGTTCAAAGTCCACTTTCTCACCGCTGGTATTGGGGGCGCCTCTAGCGAGGTTTTTCCCGCTCTACCATCCCCTTTTCCTTTTCTCATCTCCTTGCCACAACTGGGTAGCTGCAGGTGGTGGCTTCAGAGGTCTTGTAGTTAGGCATGAAAGTCTTACAGAGATACTGGAGGCTCTGAAGTCCCGGGAATGCAAGGCTGTGCCCTGACTCCCAGGTCTTCCTCTAAGTCCTCTCCAGACACTGGCGCCTTTTGCCGCCCCTGCCCCCACCTCGCCCGGGGAAGTTCGCGGGGACCCTCTGCTTGTTCTAACGCGGTTTGGTGGCTCTGCTGCCGAGGTGTTTTCAAAGATGTTCTCCACAGTCACAATGTACTGTGGTCATATTGAAGTGTAACTGTGCGTCTTTTAAGCGTTTGATACCCTAATATTTAATGACATACGCTTAAGAATTCAGGTCTCCTCTTGCACACAAGTTGTGCTCTTGATAATTAGTGGTCGTGGATTGTTGTTACAGAGGGAATTTACATAGGCTGTGCTAATCCCTTTATTTTGCTGGTGAGGAAATTGAGGCCCAGAAAGGTCAAGTTTATCTGATTAAATTACTCCCACCTCTCTCCCCCGTACCCACACTATACTTATTTCCAGGGCACAGATTCCGATAACTAAAATAACAATATCTACTTTAGATAATTGGAGAGCGTCTAGGAATGCAAATTCGGGGGAGGGGTAGTGTTCAGTAACGCCTATTGCTGGTGCATTCTTGAGGCCTGGGGGAGGTGGAATAAATAATTTGCTGCACATTTTCTATAAATTAGTTAGTTCATATATGTCAGTTAAATGGGAACAGTATGTGGATTTAAGATTTAGCTGTGCGGCCATGATCATATCCAACACCAGGTCTGCCAACCAGATGTGAGCTTAATCCCACAGAATTCTTGTGTAAGACCTCTCTTATTCAAATAATAGAGGAGATTTTTAAAAGTGTATGTGTACAGAGGAGGTAACTGCTTTCTCTGCACATTCCCTGTTGTCACTGGAATTAAGATTAAATTACAGTTAAAAACAGAAGACTTTTTTGGGACTGAGTTGTGGTATGAGTGATCAAGAGTTGACTACAGAGTTGAAAAGTCTTTTCATACATTTCCAAGGAATTGTTGAATTGTTTCACTTTGTTCATTCAGCTCTTGTTTTAACTGTGGTGCCTGTAGTATGTCTTCAAAACAATCCCGGTGAAGGCAGAATATTTCTCCAAACCCAGCTCCAAGGGATCAACACTACATCTTTCATTCTAGAATCCTCTGCCCCTCCTATTCCTTTATCTGTTCTCTGATTTGAACAAATGGAAGGGTGTGTTGAGAGAAAGGAATCACTCCAAAATTGATTTGGAGTTTCCCTAGTTACTCGTATAGAATTAGACTTTTTTTTTTTAAGTTGTTTAGGAAAACATGAACAGACTCCTTTCCCTATAAACTGCCTCTCCCATCCAGATTGAAGGAAAGTTCAATTAGAATAATTTGCTCTCATAATTTTAGGTTTTCTTAAACTTGAACGTCTTAGTGTGACGTCCTAGGTAAATACGAGATTTTACTGGAGAAAAGTCCTTCTATGTCAGATGCAGTATTTTCTGTCTTATGAAGTGGTTATATTCAGTTATAACCATTTAAACCTTAAGGCTCAATTCAGATGTTTCTTTTTTTAAGATTTTATTTATTTATTTGAGAGAGAGAATGAGAGACAGAGAGCACGAGAGGGAAGAGGGTCAGAGGGAGAAGCAGACCCCCTGCTGAGCAGGGAGCCCGATGTGGGACTTGATCCTGGGACTCCAGGATCATGACCTGAGCCGAAGGCAGTAGCTTAACCAACTGAGCCACCCAGGCACCCTCAATTCAGATGTTTCTTAAGTGGATTTGTTGGCTGGAAAACACAGAGGCTTCAGTTTAGCATGATACTGTTTATTTCTGTTCTCATCTCAACCCCTAGCTTCTCCATTTTCTCGTGGATGGTCTTGGTGCTTGGCTCTGAGAAGACCCTGAAGTGCATCTGCTGTTCCCAGAATGTAACTAATGATTAGCAAGAGCATTTCTCCCCTAGGGATGTGTCCACATTTTGAATGAGTTAGTATTTTTGCATCCAAGTCCCAGGGCAGCTATTATTTTTATTTTAAACAGAGCATGGTAATTTGCTCTACCTGGGAATCAGGCTTTATATAGCTGATCCACTCTCTCTTAAGGTGTGATGTTCAAGTTACAGAGTCGAGGAGGTGAAAGGAACTTAAAGAGGTTATTTGGTTCAGCCTTTTTCCCAATGTAGAAATATTTCCTACTTTATCCCTAACAGAAGGTATGTATTTAAACTTTTCCGGTTGCGGAGAGTTTCCATGATATCCTTCAAGAAACACGTTTAATTGTTCTTTTATCTCTTGAGCCAAAAGAAATGGAAAGCCAAGTTCATTCACTCATGTAAAACTATTAATTGAGCACCTCTTGTATGCTAGGTACTGTACTAGGAGCCAGGGTTACAGCAGTGGACAAGAGAGAAAATTCTCTTTTTACCTGGAGCTTTTATTGTCTGAGATTTAGTGTCCATGTGTATTAAAGTGATGAGCTTCAGTGGAGTATGTAAGCCATTTAGGGAGAAAGGAAATTATGTGCCTGTTGCTGAGTCAACAATTATGATGCAGGTAAAGATCTTGTCTGGGAATCATAGACAGTTCCTGAAGATATGGTCTGTTTTCAGCAGGAGGGTGGGGACTGACAATGAAATGTTATTTTTCCTTGTTATAAAATTGCCAGTTACATCTTGAGGTTGTAGCCCTCCGTGTGGAGGGCTTTGGCTCTTTTCTACCTGGAGAAAGATTAATGGAGCTAAGGAATGTCCAGGGGGTGGCTATCTAAATGATAAAGGGGCTGTCATCTAGGGGGGAGTTTAAAAAAAAACAAAACTCTTTAGTAAGTGGTATAAATGATACACATTGAGGCTCTATAAGCAATTATAAAGAATGAAGGAAGTGTTTGAGGTACAGTAATCTCTCCTTAAATCTTTTGAAAGCTATAGATTTTATCTTTTAAAATATCTTCTTTAAAAATGATATGTTTACATGACAATGAAAAACAGACCCACGGAATTGATTAAAAGAACGAAACTACCCATTTCCCACCATCCTGATCTAAGAGCTCCTAGACTGTTAGTGTATTTTCATTGACTGTGTGAGATTTACACAGGTGAGCATAACCTATCTCGTATAAACTGCAACTTAGAAACCAAACTGTGTGCCTGGTAGACCCTGTCTGTTTGGACACTCATATAATGTAGGAACCAGATGCTTAGTGCTTTCAAAGGGGCCACCCTGTATTTGTATCCAGACAAAGGAATGAATGATTTGGTTGTCCTACTTTGATTGATTGCCAGAAGACCTAGTGTTTATATCCACTGATGATGCCACAGCTGATAATGATCTTCGGGTTTAGACTCCGTGTGGGGCAGGCTACAATCAGAACTTTCTATGCCAGTGTTTCTCTTTATAGGACCTTAAACTTGATTGGGGGTGGGGTGGGTAGGGGCTTTGTTGGATTTTATATAATTTATTGAAAACTGTCTTTCATAGTGCTAGTTAGACCTGTCTTAACTGGGGTCAGTGAAGAAGAACCATTATTTAAGCAAAGACCCAGAAGATCTAAAGCTTCTATCCTGTTCCCCAAGGAGACCTACTTTACAATTTAATTGATAGCCCCCTTTGTTGTTGTTGTTGTTTTTTAAATCCAGACTGACAGAAAACTCTCTTCAACTAAACAGTACCACCTCTGACCCACTCAGGCCTGTTGGCAGCCCATCAATGCAACCACTGTAAAACATAAAAACAATACCTGGGCTAAGGTGATAGAGACAGGCTTCTAAAAAGAATTTCCTGGGTGATATGAAATCAAATTTGCATCATCATAGGCCTGATCTGAGGTAGAAATCAGGAGTCTGTACCCTTATATAATTGGAACCAAGGCATTAGAACCATCTTTTTTAGGATCTATGC